TATTGCGATTGTTCTTTGAAATCAGAATCCGTAATGTATTTTATCTGATGTAGCGAAATCTGCTTATTTCTAAGTTTGTGATTTAAATTGTAAAAAATCGATTTTTTTCTTAGTGAAAATTTAATAGTCTCAACTATATTCACGACCTAATTAATTTTTAACCTTATATTAAGTCTAAATCAAAATTCTGAGAATAAAAAGATTGTCTTAAAATAGGCAGGTTATACATGTTCTACATTAATTTGTTTTATTATGAATTTTATTACGATTCGGAAATAAGTATTTTCCTTTGAAACAAAGAAGGATTCGGGAATTGACAGATAATTTCGCATTGTCGTGTCAATGGGAAAATCGGAGATCCATTACATGATTTCTTTTAGTGCAATCGATAAGATTAAGGAAGTGTCACGTGTTCCATGTGGCCTCGATCGGCCTTTACCCGCGTGATTGTCGTTGTAGGTGCTATATCAGGGGGAAGGGGGGGGGGGCGGCTCGACCGTCCCCGCGAGCGGTCTCAGCCCTCACGGCGTGGCTCAGCGTGGGATCAATAAAAATCACGAAGTCATCGCGATTGGGCGCCACTTGTCATTAATGACTATCCGATTTTTCGATTTAATTAAATGGCAATGACGATCTTGCCACCTAAATGTCGATCCTGTCTCGCGATCGAGCCACGCCATCACACATTTAGAATTAAAGATCACGATTGCATAACAATAAAGATTACAAAAACAATCTTCTCGTCGCTGCAAATGTGCGTTCAAAATCGCCAACGTTCTACTTTAAATAAAATCATTAATTAAAAACAGATCCGCGTTTCAGCGGTGTAATCGATAATCCCTATTTTGCGCGTACAAGATACTGCAGGAACACACCACCGCTGATTATAAACGTACATAACCGCGCGGAGAAAATACGCGGCCGAGAATGTTGAATATAAAAACAAATCGCGTCAGTCGGTGGCGTACGAAATCGCATTTCCCGCGGCAGTGATAAACAAAATAGAATTATCTACGGACCGTCGCTATTTACCCGATTCTTGTTTTATTTCCCCTGACAGGCGCACGTTGTTTTTTTGCGTAATACCCCGCGCACGCGGTCGAAGCCAGAATCACAGGTATATATATATATATATGTCTGTTGTGTGTGTACGTGGAATACGTGGAATACATGGATGCGCGTGTGTGTCAACGAATTTTTCCGCGAGCATGTCCACGTATCGAGGGGACGGTAATCCGATATCCCAAACGACATCCCCGCGTGCGCTTGATTTTCGCGATATAAATGAAAATGAAACGAATCGCCCCGCGTTCGCTTTTGTTCGCGGTTAAATTAACGAGCCCGAAATATTTGCATCTTCACGATCATCGTATGTCATGTTGAACTGCGTTACGCGTTTTATTTCGCGAAAGATATAAAAAAAATTTTTATAAAAGCAATTTTTTTCTCTTCAAAAAAATTAAAATATTCGTAAAGTTATAAATCATATATATAACACATATTATTATAATAATATTATCTTATATATAATTACAAGATTATTAATTTTTCAATTTTTTTTCGGTTCTATTAAAAAGTTCTGAATTATGGTGATTTGTATATATTTTCCATATAAATATCTGTGTGACTCAAATCAAAATGCGCTCTTTGGATTCTAATTTAAATAACAGAGCGGAAAAACGTGCGAATCAAGAAAAATGGTTCGTGGGACGCTTTTTTAATCCTATCTCCGGAAGCGGCGCGATGAGCGAAGTCGAGGAATTATCGTCGTTATTTGCTCCGTCTCTCTTTTTCCGTCCATTATATTTTCATTTTTTCGTAGCACTCTCAGAACTTTTCAAACATGTTATCGACTCTAACAATTGATCAGACACTAGTTCGTTCCGTTAAGAAGACAAATAACGCAATCAAATCAATTACGCTTAACGACAGAATTGTTCTTTCCGCACGATGGATACCAATATCGTGATCGTTGAGATACGCTCGCTCTTGAGTAAAATCTCTTCTCAGACAAACACGATTACACCGTCGATATGAATGCCTACGGTATTTTTCCGACTACGCGATGCCCCCGGCAGATACCCTTCGACATTTTCGCGAGCGGGAAGCCCACATTGCCGCAAGTTTATCGACAGTTTTTTTTTTTTTTTTTTTTAACGAATGTACATCCCGCGGTGTTTACGGGGGCGGCTTTCGACCCTTTTCGAAAACTCGAAAGCCTGACGCGGCCCGGTCGATCCCGGGTGCGCTCGGCCACGGAATGGAGATTCGAGAATTTATACGTGTGTGTATATATGTATACATATGTATATAACCGCACGAGGACGCCCGTGGTGGGATGTAATATCAATACGCCGCGGAAGCTGGATAGTCGCGTCTGATTTTCCGAGCGCATCGGCACGTGGATAATGTTTTAATGGAGTTTGCGGAGTGCGAGGAAAGCAGGAGAGACAGAGAGAGAGAGAGAGAGAGAGAGGGATACTTGGCCAGGGTTGAGGCC